AGGGAGAGAGAGAGGGAGAGAGAGAGAGAGAGAGAGAGAGAGAGAGAGAGAGAGAGAGATTAAAACCTTTCAGATATGATGTCTTTGTATTCTAAAGGAAAAAAATTTCATTTTGTGTATGAATTTGTTCTCCTTTGAGCATATACCTGCCATCTCTAATTAAAAATTTCCCTCCTGCTCTCTCACTCCCCTAGAGGTCATGTATTTATAAGTATAATGAGAAATTTATTTATGCACTGAAAGATATAAATCAAAGCAGATGTTGTTCTAGGAACAGTTGGACAGTGTGCAAATAGTGCAGAAAAATAAACGAACCTACAATCTAAAGGTAGAAAAAGAAAATAAGTAAACCAAAGCTTGTATAATATGTTTAATAGTAGCATGTGTTAGGAATAAAAAGAAAAGAGGTAAAATGAAGAGAATGGATGAGAGTGTTTTGTGTTGTTTTGCTTTCTAAACTAGGATTCAGGCAAGATAAGTACACAAGTTAACTTTTAAACAAAGATCTCAAGGAAAAGAAAACAAGTGCCAAAAGTTCTGTAGAAAGGTGTGTGTCTGCTAAGGAGAAAGCCCAGTGTTAAAATCCCTGAGAAAGGTGTATCTTCCAGAATTTCTAGGCCAATAAGTAGTTAGTTTGGCAAGAGGGAGGTGCATGGATCAAATGTGGAAGTGGAAAATGGTGGCCTCCTAGCAGCTAAGAATAGAAGAATGGTGATCAGAGACTGGGGAGGGTACCAGGGAAGGGGAGAGAGGGGGCATTAGTGAATAGGTACCAAAACACAGTTCGATGTGAAACTACCTTCTAATGCTCTGTAACACAGCAGCATGACTATAGTTACAATTTTTGTATATTTCAAAATAGCTAGAAGAACAGAGTTTGATCATTCCCAACAAAAAGAAATGGTGCATGTTTAAGGAAACAAATACACTAATTATTCTGATTGGACACTTTCGATACATGTATCAAAATAGAATTTTTTACCCCATAAGAAAGTACAGGGATTATCTGTTAATTTTTTAAAAAGCATCTATACCATTAGTTTTTATAGGACATATCACAAGATAAAGTTATGTGTTTGTTAAGAAAGGTAATATATTAAAAACCATAGATCATAGACCTTGGAGAAACTTACCGAGTTCAAAAATGCCAGCTCCACCAAATACATTTGTTGTTCTTGCACACAAAAACAGTTAACCTCTCAGAGATTCAATTTCTTTAGCTGTAAAATGTGATAAAATGTTACCCATCTCACAAGAATTTTATGAGGAAAGATACAAAAATTAAATTTCATTTTTAAAATGGGACAGTGATGAGAGATGATCTCAGAGAATGCTGAAAGTGCAGTACTTATATCCAATGGAAGTCAAATTATTATATAAAGAAACACTCAACTCTCCTGTGTCTCTAGCAGCACTATTCACAACACTGAAGGTATGGAATTGACCAGGATGTCCATCTAAGGATATATGGACAAAGAATGTGTCCATCAAAGCAAGGATACACAGAGGACACGATACAATCATAGTCAGTGATACTAATGAAAGGCATTCTGTCATTTGGACAACATGGATGAAAATGCAGGACATAAGGAAAGTTTAAAAACCCAACCACAGAAATGTAAATATTTCGTGCAGTCATCCATGCATGGAAGCTGAAAAACTTGACCTCATAGAGGAGGAGAGTGGAATAGTGGTCCCTAAAGATAGGGAAGTGTGGGAGGGAGGAAAGATGGAGACAGAAGAGGAGCATCAAAGCTCCAAAGGATGAGGAAATTGTTCTTGTGTTCTATAGCACAGTAGGCAAACTTTAGTCCCCAGGAATCTGTGATACAATTCAAAATAACTAGATGACTCCAAAGCTTCCCAATATATATGAATGAATATTTCTATGCTAATTACCATGACTGGACCATTATATATTATATACTTGTATCATAAATAACTACAGTACCAGTGTTTTATTCAATTTAAAATACATTGAAAACCAATAATAGGTAAAGAGCAAAATAAAGACATACTTTTATGATTAGAGATAGGGGATGAGGAACAGGCAGGAGGGAAAATGGATTAAAATTGATTAACCTATGTTTTTTTGTTGTTTTTTTTTTGTACCAGGGATCAAACTCGGGTCCTTGCGCTTGCACAGCAGGCGGTGAAACCACTGAGCTAAATCCCTGGCCCTATTAACCTATGTTGCATATATGTTCCAAATTCTAAAACGAATGTAAATTTCATATATTAAAAATATATGTCATTAAAGCTATTAAGGAAAGAGGGCCTTTTGCTGTTGAAATATCAAGACAAAAGGACTGCCTCTGCCCAATGTTTTGCAATTGTGCTAATATTAAGTTGGCTACAAAATTTTCCTTGAATTAAAGTGGATTTCCTTTTTATGTACATCTGTTGTCTTGAGTTCTGGCCTCTTCAGAATGAATCGCCATGTAGAATACAGATATTCTTTGATATATGATGCAGTTATATCCAAATAATGCTATTGTTTTATAATTCAAAAATGCATGTAATATACCTGCCCCAGTGAACAGCCTAGCCAGGCAACATAACACACGGCAGTGTTGGTTGTTTACCCTCATGATGATGTAGCCCAACAGAGATGTGGCTTGCTGCCAGCGTTCAGCATCAAGAAAGACTACTGTACAACATATCACTAGTGTGGGAATGTCAAAGTTCAAAGTAAAGTTTCTTTGGAATCACTTTTTCATCATCATATAGCAGGAAACAGGGAGACAGTCTTTTGGAAATTGGAAGGGAACCAGAAGATAGATGAATGGGGGAGGAAAGAAGTACAAAGAATTAAGATGCATTATGTAACTGTACCAACATCCCACAATGAATGTGATCATCATATCCTGCAAACACATTCTAATAAAAATTCAGGAATTGTTTTATTAAAAAATTTTAAGTAAAAGTGTAAGTTGAAAAGTATCTACATATTAAGGCTCTGAAACCTATTCTCAACTCTAAATACACACACAGTCTCTCTCTCTCTCACACACACACACACACACACTCACACCTAGCTAATATCAAATACACTTAATATTAGCCAAAAGGCTGAGAAGCAAGTACTAGAAAGAAACAGATAACAAGATGAGCTATAAATATCAGATTACTTTCCCCCAAAGAATGTACAAATGGTACCCAGAAACGGTACTCAATTTGTCAATCTCCCATCACAAGTATCCTTGGAGTTTAAATTTGGTGTGCCTATTATCTGCCCTCTATTTAAAGAAACAAAAAATATGCTCTGGAAACAGACAGAAGTGTTAAATGGACCTGAGGGAAAAAAGTATCTAATAAGCACAGGAGGTCACTGTGTGACTGTAAAAAAGGAAAAACTTCCACTTTTCTGGCAGCATTTCATTTCCTATTACACTCCCTGATATCTAGGAAAAATAATAAAAGCTTAAAAATAAATGTATGCTAAATAAAAAGTAATGAAACTCTATATCAAGTACACTCATGGAAAAAAATGAACAAAGAGATTAATCCAATTATTTACAAAAGGGAACATATAAGAACAAAATGTTTTTGGCACTTTTCATTAGACAGCAAAAGAATTCTGTCCTGTGGCTTTTCCACATTTATTTGGAAAATTTGTTTTTCTGTGATTTGAAAATGGATAATGTAGTAATGTAGTCCTCTGTCTCATGTGGCTCTTTTTCTAAGCTTTGGATACATAAAATATGTATTCTTATTTATGGTATACAATGTGCTGCTTCAATCTGGATATATGTATTTTGATGATCACACAGGATAATTGCCATTTAAGTCACCTTAAATATCTATAATCTCTTTTGTGGGAAACAATAAAAAGTCCTCTCCTCAAATACACAGCTAATTATTGTGAAATATAATTGCTCTATGATGCTATAGAGCATCGTAACCCCCCAAATAGAAGTGATTCCTCCTATCCAGTTGCATCTCCTAATAGCTGTACCCCTGTTGAGCATCCTCCAACAATTCTTCATTCCCACTATTCCTTTCCCTAGCTCTAGTGACTACCATTCTACATTCTACTCTCTACTTCTATGACTGATTTATTCATAATTCATCCTCTCTTCCTTCCCTAGCTCATACATCTCACAAAAAATCTGAGGTAATAAAATCTTTATGAAAAGAAATAATACACTTTTGAGGAGCATAAAGAAATTACATATAAAATTCTGTTTTTAGGCAGAGCAAATATTTTATTAATAAAAGAAATAATCTCGGATGAAGAAACACGTGTCCTAAAGCCCAGTCTGCAAACGCATTCTTTTTATTACCTATCCTTTTAATAGTAGCAAATGTGATAATATCATGCAAGTGCACAGTATTTTGTAATGAGTAAATTGGAATATTAAGATTTATATCTCTTTAAGCATGTTTTGTATTTTAAAATTTAAATAATTAACATATACTAATAATATTGAATATTGGGTTATACTGTGATATTTTCATGTTTACAGGAAGTTAAAATCATCTTAAATAAGGCAAGAAACTCAGAAGTAAGAAGATAGACCTACATCACTAAATAAATCTTAAAACTTTTTATTCAATAATGAAGATTTCACCCAAGGTCTTCACACTGAGCTATATTCCCAGGCCTTTTTTACTTGTATTTTGAGGCAGGGTCTCTCTAAGTTTCTAAGTTGCCTGGGCTGGGTTTGAAGTTCTGATTCTTCTGACTCAGCTTCCCAGAGTGTTGAGATCATTGGCATGTGCCCCTACACCTGGATAA